AACAATAATTTTACACACACACACACACACATATATTGCATGTTAAGTATATTGCACTATATTTTTAAAAATATATATTGCACTAAATAATCTCTACAAAATCAAGGATATTCTTCACTTATCATAACAATTTCAACTATTCTTCAAATACGAACTTGAATTCTCTTACATGTAACTTCAATTCATCTTATATTATATTATGTGTCAATTAAGTTATATATATAAATATATGTATTTATTGAAAAGGTAATGTATTAAACCCTATGACCCATCTAGTAATAGAGTCCGTTATCAACTTTTATTATTGAATTATATGGGTATTCACTTTTTACCCATTACTGATTCACCCACTTAAATTTGAATATCCAAATAATTTAATTTTAGTATGCAAACTTGGACGATTTAATGAATTTAAATATAAATTACCACCCCTAAATGCTACCACTTAAAATTTTACAATAACAATTAAATTTAAACTTTTAAAATATTCAATAATCAACTTTCAGTTTTACTGAAAAACCACTATATCTTTCACTTCGAATAGAATTCAAACTCTATGGGGATAATGGGAGGGAGATATTTTAAAGCATTTCAACTTTATATCTTTGACTTTCCATGTTGATCCGAAATGCTACCTCAATGAATAGTAGCAAAATTATTTGCGGGCATGGTACGTTGGGCAAGAAGTCAAGTGGTCCAATCGGACGATGATATCATCTTTTTCCTCCCAAATTCTAAAAACGAGTATTAGTGAGCCCCACACGCAATAGGATAAATGATAAACATCATGTAATGGCCGCACACGTAAAACTAAAAGTTGATTGTTGAATATTTTGGAAGGTAAAATTTGAGTAATTGTTAACCTTTTAAGTGATAATTTGCATTAGGTGTATTGGTGGGATTAATTCAAAGTAACTTAGGGTCTATTTGGTTAGATAAAAATTGATGATGGAAGTAAAAGAAAAGAAAGTGAAGTGAAAAAAAAGAAAATTAGTTTTTTATTATGCATTTGGTTAACAAGGATTTTTTTTAAAGAAACTTGTGAGAAAATGTTGTTTAATTAGTTTGGATAGTAAGAGAATGAAAGGAAAATGATTTTCTATATCAAAATTACCCTTATGAATTTAATAGTAAAATAATAATAATATATACAATTAAATAATAATAATATTAGTAAAATAATATATACAATTAAATTACCCTTATGAATTTAATAATAATAATAATAGTGAAAAAATAATATATATAATTGGATTTATAAATAAATATATATGTCTAGATATGTATGTGTCTCTTTATATAGTTTTTTTTTTTTGGGAAGTTTTCATTTTATATTAGGACTCTGTTATTAAATTAGTTTACTTTGTTTTGTAAGTGTAGCGAAGAATTTTAATTTCAAGAGTAAAAGAGTTGTAATTAATTTAGGAGTATTAATTTGTGTAAGAAAACTCTCCTTTTGTGAGTATGAAGAAACAAAAAGAAACATTTTACACAAAGGTATAAGAGGAAATTAATATATAATGATATAACTTTATTTTCGCGTGTTTTATAGAGGAAACATTTTAAGAAAAATCAAGCAGTTGCAGAAATATTACTTTCCTGAAAACTTTTCTTTTCATGCTAACCAAACGGCTAAAAATCTTAAAATTTTCTATTTCTTTTTCGCTAATTCACGCTAACCAAACTAACCCTTACTATTTTACTAAAACTTACGAGCATGACAATAACAAACAAATATAAACTAACCCTTGCTATTTTACTAAAACTTACGAGCATGACAATAACAAACAAATATTTAAATGCAATATTAAGTATAAAAGCAAAGAAATAAAGTAATGTAAATTTAAGATCAGCAAATAAAGATAAAGATTCTTACAAAATATTTATTGAATTTAGTAAAAGGACATTCAAAGAGAACGCTATTTATAATACAGAAGTAAAAGTGATTTTCACTCATCATAATAATGTCAAATACAAACTTAGAATTTTTTGTTTACGTGTAACTTCAATTTATCTTGTATTGAACAGAGTATTCTGTTTCAATTACATCACCTATATACATTGAATACCTTACATCATTTATAAAACAATAATTTTATATATATATATATATATATATATATATATATATATATATATATATATATTGCATGTTATGTATTGTACTATATTTTTAGAAAATATATATATTGCACTAAATAATCTCTACAAAAGCAAGGATATTTTTCACTTATCATAACAATTTTAACTATTCTTCGAATATGAACTCGAATTCTCTTACATGTAACTTCAATTCATCTTATATTATATTATGTGTCAATTAAGTTACATATATATATATATATATATATATATATGCATGTATTTAAAAGGTAACGTGTTAAACCCTATGACCCGTTTAGTAATAGAGTCCGTTATCAACTTTTATTATTGAATTTTATGAATGCTCACTTTTTACCCATTACTGATTCACCACTTAAATTTGAGTATCCAAATAATTTAATTTTTGTACGCAAACTTGGACGATTTAATGAGTTTGAATATGAATTACCATCCCTAAATGCTATCACTTAAAATTTTACAGTAACAATTAAATTTAAACTTTCAAAATATTCAATAATCAACTTTTAGTTTTACTAAAAAACCGCCATATCTTTCACTTAGAATATAATTCAAACTCTATGGGGATAATGGGAGGGAGATATTTTAAAGCATTTCAACTTTATATCCTTGACTTTCCATGTTGATCCGAAATGCTACCTCAATGAATAGTAGCAAAATTATTTGCGGTCATGGTACGTTGGGCAAGAAGTCAAGTGGTCCAATCGGAGGATGATATCATCTTTTTCCTCCCAAATTCTAAAAACGAGTATTAGTGAGCCCCACACGCAATAGGATAAACGAGTTGTGTGGTTTTGAAAATGATAAACATCACGTAATGGCCGCACAGGTAAAACTAAAAGTTTATTGTTGAAAATTTTGGAAGGTAAAATTTGAGTAATTGTTAACCTTTTAAGTGATAATTTGCATTAGGTGTGCCGGTGGGATTAATTCAAAGAATTAACTTATTATTTTACTAAAACTGCCGAACATGACAATAACAAACAAATATTTAAATGCAATATTAAGTATAAAAGCAAAGAAATAAAGTAATGTAAATTTAAGCTCAGCAAATAAAGATAAAGATTCGTACAAAATATTTATTGAATTTAGTGAAAGGACATTCAAAGAGAACACTACTTATGATACAAAAGTAAAAGTGATTTTCACTCATCATAACAATGTCAAATACAAACTTAGAATTTTTTGTTTAATTGTAACTTCAATTTATCTGTAGAGAGTATTCTGTTTCAATTACATCACCTACATACATTGAATACCTTACATCACTTATAAGACAATAATTTTATATATATATATATATATATATATATATATATATATATATATATATTGCATGTATGTATTGCACTATATTTTTAAAAAATATATATATTGCACTAAATAATCTCTACAAAAGCATGGATATTTTTCACTTATCGTAACAATTTCAACTATTCTTCAAATACGAGCTTGAATTCTCTTACATGTAACTTCAATTCATCTTATATTATATTATGTGTCAATTAAAAAAATAATAATAAAAAAAAAAAGAAGAAGAAGAAGCAGCAGCTGTAGATGTGGCGTTACAGGCAAGGGAGGATGAAAGGTTCGCCCTTACCATACTACTTTAAGCCCAAAAAAATAAAAAATAAAAAATAAAAAAAATAGTAATGGTAGTCCAGTCCAAAGTTAGCCAGTCCAAAATTAGCCCACCCCATTCAGAAAGGTTTGATCTGCCCTTGGTTACAAGTAGTAGCAGCGGCTAAGGTGGAGGTGTGTTTGTATGTGTGTGTGTGTGTGTCTATATATATATATGGCTGTGTTTGTATATGTGTACATGTCTATATGTATACGGTTGTGTTTGTATGTGTGTATAGTATGTGTGCAGGGATGATGATGGGCGGAGGAGGAGAAAGAAGAGGAAAGGTGTGTTGGGGGTAGTTTAGTCACAAAAATAGTTTAACATGAGGTCAAAGGGTAACATTGTTATTTAACATTTGGGGTGTAAGTGAAATGTTAAGCCACTAATTTAAATTTGAGTGCAAAATAAAAATCAAATCTTCATCTAGGTGATGTATGATCTAACCTCAGGGGGTCTGAATGAAATTAATCCTAATAATTATGATTATAATATTTTTGTCTGAAAAGTTTATTCAGACTATTATCTAATATTATATAATCTATTAAAAATATTACTGCGGATTATTAACATTTGAATATTACAAATAATAGGTATCATTAGTTTATACTACGTGATACTAATTTCTATTTGGAATGAACAATGGTAAACATAGCAAACATAAAAAAAATAATAATAATAAAAAATAAAAGATATTGTTTCCTTTTTCTTCACAAAAATAAAAAACATTTTCAACTTTAGAAAAATAAAAACATATTTTTAAACACGTTCTGTTTTTTATTTTGCCTTTTAAGGATTTGATAACAGAAAATAAAACAAATTTATTATTATTGAAGTTGATATTTTAATTTTAAAAAATCAAAATCATAATGTTGCTTTCAACAAAAGTAAAATAGAGGGTAAAGTGAAATCCATTCTACATTAAAAATGTGCAGGAAAAAAAAAAATCATTACTATTTAGTAGTGTATATGAACCCTACCATATAAAACTTTGTAGTAATTTTCTCCTTCAATTTTCACCAAATTTTTTTATAAAACTTCAAAACAGTAACGACACACTGTATAGTGTGTGTGAGAGACTTTTATTATATGAAGTCTTTTCAATTAATAGATGCTTGGAAAAATATGACATGAAACTCATTGTCTGATCTATATATAAGTCAGGGCTATGCCCTCTCTCAAGCACAAACCCAACCTTTCTCTTCTTTCCTTTTCCTTTCCTTCCTTTGATTTGATCAAAACTGTTTGAGCTTTAAAAATGGCAGCTTCCTGTGTTTACGATGTCTTCTTGTCTTTCAGCGGCCTTGATACTCGCAAGAAATTTACTGGTCACCTCTTGGCTGCTTTGGATCAGCATGGTTTTTACACATTCAGAGATGACACTAAACTCCAAAGAGGTGAAGAAGTTGGTCCTGGATCGTTGAAAGCAATTGAGAAATCAAGAGTTTCCGTTATCGTATTCTCGAAAAACTACGCCTCCTCAGAATGGTGCCTTGACGAGCTTGTCAAGATCATGGATTGCAAGACGATACTCAATCAGATTGTTATTCCCATCTTCTATGACGTCGAACCTTCTAATGTTCAATCACAGAGCGATTGTTATGCAGAAGCGTTTGCCAGTCACGAAAGCGGTTCGACTTGAAAAAGGTGAAAATTTGGAGGTCAGCTCTAGAAAAGGCTGGCAATTTGTTCGGTTACGTCTTGCAAAATGTGGCCAACGGGTACTTATTTCTCTTTATTCTCTTCAAAAAAGCATTCTAACACTGTTTGATCACTTATTTATTTTGAATTTTCACCTCTTTGTATGTAAATTTGCTTAATTTCATTTTTTGATTTTTGTTTTTTCTTAACAATAAAAATTGGACAGGAGTGAGTCAACGTGTATTAAGTCCGTTGTTAAAGGATTGGCAGATAAATTAAATCCTACGGGCTTAAGTGTTCCAGAGTATCAAGTTGGAATCGAGCATAGTGTTGAACAAGTGACTAAGTTTCTAATGTTGGGGTCAAATAGCGCTAGCAATGATGTTAGGATTGTTGCCATATAGGGGATTGGTGGAATTGGTAAGACTACCATTGCTAAAGTACTGTATAATCGCATTCATCGTTTTCATCTATTTGAAAGCAGTAGCTTTCTTCATGATGTTGGACGAATTTCTAGGGATACCAACGGTGTCGTTAAATTTCAAAAACAGCTTATGTCGGATCTCCTAAATGATGAAAATGAGAAAATAAGATGCGGGGATCATGGAATTGAGGTGATAAAATGTCAAGCATGGTGTCGAAAGGTTTTTCTTGTTGTCGATGGTGTGGATAACGACAGCCAATTGAGTGCTTTGGCTATAAATCGTAATTGGGTATGTCCTGGAATTAGAATCATAGTAACAACTAGAGATTTGTCTGCAATAAAGTCACTTCAAGTGGATGAGGTGTATAATCTTGAGGAGTTGAATATGGAGGAATCTCTTCAACTCTTCAGTTGGCATGCCTTTAGAAGAGACTGTCCTCTAGAAGGTTATGAAAGCCTCTCTGACGCAGTAGTGTGTTATGCGAAGGGACTTCCTTTACTTCTTACAACTTTAGGTTCTTTATTGTCTAGTAAAGCGGTACATAAATGGCAAGCTCAATTGGAGAAGTTGAAAAAGATTCCTGATCCTAAGTTCAAGATATACTAAGGCAGAGTTTTGACTCACTTGATGATAAACAGAAGGGTTTATTCCTAGATATCGCATGTTTTTTTGTTGGAATGGACCAAGATTTGGCCATCAAAATACTAGAAGGATGCAATTTTTACCCAGATATTGATATTGACATTCTATCTGATCGTTGTCTTGTAAGCATCAATCGGCATAACCAACTGATGATGCATGATCTGATTCAAGACATTGCAAAAGAGATCGTCCGCCAAGAATTCCCTACAAAGTCTGGCGAACGTAGTAGATTGTGGTATCATGAAGACATTCTCGATGTACTAAAATATGACACGGTAAGAGTCCAATGCCTAATTTAATTACATATCTTGCCACTTTAAAAATACCATAGCACATGACACATCATGAAAGTCTCACAATCTGGTATGTGACCATATTTTCAATTCAATGTCACATGCACACCCATACACACATATATACTTATATATGCTTTATTGTCATTAGGGGACAGAGAATGTTCTGGGCTTAGTCCTGAACTTGCCAGAATCAGAGGAGCTACAAGTAAATACGGAGGCATTTACAAAGATGAAGAGGCTGAGATTGCTTCATCTCAATTATGTCCAAGTAAATGGAAGCTGCAAACATCTCTCTAAAAAACTTGTATGGTTGTCTTGGAAAGGATTTTCTTTAGAATGTATACCACCAACCTTAATTATGGATAATTTGGTTGCCATTGACTTGAGCTATAGCAAACTCAAACAAGTTTGGAGAGGAACAAAGGTATGATGATTGATACTACTATTTTTTTAATCATCTGCTTCAAACTACTTAAATTATACAATGACATGCTCGAAAATTTATTCTCTCTTTCTGTTCCTAACAGGTTTTGTGCAAATTGAAATACCTCGATCTCAGTCATTCCTATCTCTTGATTAAAACTCCAGACTTCACGGGGCTCACCGGTCTTGAGAAATTGTTGCTTGCTGATTATACAAAGCTGGTAGAGGTTCACCAATCTATTGAAAGTCTGGAAAATCTTATTGTCTTGGATCTACAGAATTGCCACAATCTGAAGAAGATTCCCCCGAGCATTTTCATGTTTAAGTCTCTCGATTATTTCAATATGTCTGGTTGCTCCAAATTAGAATGGCCAGCATTTTTTTGAAGATCCCCACCTGGATCAAGCTTACAATTGTCAAGTTGCATCAGGAAATTATCTATGGAAAACTGCAATATAACAAATGTGCCCAGTGAAATTGGTAATTTGATGTCCTTGGGATGTTTGAATCTTAGCGGAAACAAATTTTCTAACCTACCAGCTACCATCACTAGCCATCCACGACTGTTGACTCTCTTCACACAAACGTGTACTCGGCTTGAATCACTTCCCGGCCTTCCAGTAAATTTAAAGTTTTTGCGAGCAAATGACTGCACAGCATTGCAGAGCATGTCAATTGAATCAAAAGCAGCACACAGACAATTCATGACTTTTAACGGTTGTCCCAAATTAGTCAACAACAATGCTGCATATAATTTTAGAAGAAATGTTCTCAGATATCAGGTACAAATACAACACTCTCCCTATGCGTGTAGTACTAGAAGAAACCAATTAACTTGGTTCGTGGGTCTAATCTAATGTAGGGACATCGAGAACAAGAGTTGCATATTTGTTTTTCCGGGGGTGAGCTTCCGAGGTGGTGCAACTACCAGAGTGAGGGATACTTTATACCTTTTCAAATGCCTGAGCTCGTGGGTCGGATAATACAAGGGATTATATTCTGTTTTGTTTTTTCTCAGCGCGTCTCTGGAGATTTTATACTCCCATACATGGTTACATATTACGTTTCTAATAAAACCAAGTGGTCTCGGGGACCACATTGTGAAATACCAATATATTTTTATGCAGATAGATTTGAACGAATGTGCCTGTCCTACATACCAATTCGGCAGCTTAAACATTGTCGGTTGGACGTTGGAGATGAAGTGGAAATAACAATCAGACAATCGTATGGAAAACAGTTGTGGATGAAGAGGTTAGGGGTTAGTCTGATTTACGAGGGCGATGAGAAGAATCAGGACTCATATGATGATGCCTTACATCACTCGCTCACTGCTGCCTTAGATATTATCCCTACTCCTCTTGGTGACGTAGATAAGCAGAATGAAGAATTTATAATGGACCTACTCTTACAGGGTGCAACTTGGGCCGGCCCAACGGATTATTGGGTTGGTTATTTTATTTTATTTGTTTTGTTTTGTTTTATTTTTTTATTTTTTGTTTTTTTAGAACATAAATGACCCATTTGAAGGCTTCTAGGGTGAAAGGTTGAGAGAGACTGTGTACTTTAATAAAAAGAAGAATTTTATGTTTTTTTTAATGGAATGAGAATTATATGTATCAATTAAGACTGGAGTGTAGTGACGGACCTGACTTTCCTAAAAATTACATTGCTGTGATGGATCCTACAAATATTCTGCCTGAAGTGTCTTCCGTTAATAATATGGTATTGGCTTAATAGAAAAGAATTACATGTTGACTGTTGTGATAATACCACTCAAACTAACAGACTTGAATAGGATAATACAGGTTTCCTTTACCACAAGGCTATTTTTAGTTACTGAATGGTTGAAAATCCTTTATAATCGAGTCCAACTCGACATAAAACATAAGAAATTATGAAGAGATTTGCATATGAATGTCATACTATAATCTTTTTAAATTACACTATAAGAGGAGTGAGACCAAATAGCTGTTGGGAAACGTGCTAGTTTTAAAAACTTTTCGAGGGATTTAAATTCATAGATCTTGTTTCATCACATAGAGACAAGTTTTATGCAAAAATAAAACATGATGTATCATTCAATTAAAAGATTGAATACTTACATCAAGGTTTGAGTAAACCTTAAATCTCTCCTCTAAAGTGAATGTTCTCACTTATTGTAGATCCCTTTTGCTAGACACCTTTTCCATGGATCTCTATTTTCTTGGTAATTGTTTTGCCTTTAGGAATCACTCATAAGCCTCCATGAATGACCTTGGAAAACTAGGCTTGTGGGAGCCTCCATTAGATGAGAACATAAACCCTAATTTTCTAGAGAGAGAAAATATATTCCTTTTTCCTTCTACTAAAAATCACCCCTAAAATATACATAGACCATGTATATTTATAGGCAACATAAAGGTAAAGAAAAGGAAACAACTAATCCTTCTCAATCTCTAATTCACATGTCTTAAATCTAATATGATTCCAATATCAAGTTGGGCTATGAGTGAGAATCCATTGGGCCTATTATTTTATTGGCTACAATGAATTAATAATTGGCTCGGTCCCTGGACCCAATTCAATTAATTCATAAATTAATTTCTACTCCACTAAAAGAAATTAATTGAACTCCAATTAAATAATAAATAACCACTAAGTCAATATTGCACTTTGACCCCTCTATGTATAATTAGTTATCGGATAAATAATGCCATCAATCCGACTACTTAATTAATATATTTATTTTGGTACCTTTGATTATTTCTGGCTTGATCACAATAAAACATTTGTTTGACAAAATAATAATAATTTAATAAATAAATATATAATAAATCATTTTGTCTAAAAACATACGAAGGCCTTCGAATTTACTTTGTGATCAACCATAATCAATACAAAATAAATACAAGTAGCAATAATGCAAATATTGAAAATATAACATTCTAACTATTAATTACATAACTACCCAAAGTGTCGGTCTAAGGATTCCGAAGAATCCGCCGAACAAATCAAAGTAATTATTAATTAATAAAAGAGTCTATAATTTTCTCATGCTTAAGAGTCAAATGCCATGACGGTGATAGGGAGTAATTGCATACGACGGCTCTCGCAATATATCTCAACCTAACGCGGATCCAGTTTAAGTCTTAATTAATTATGAGTCCATCCATAATTACCGACTATGAATAATTTATAATTACTATTTATATATCATGCATTGATTGCCATCGCATACATATATATAAATATTTCTTGTAATTACATGGACACTATCAATTTCATAGTGAATCGAAACATAATACATTGAATTCACCAATTATATAAATCATAAATATTTCAGATATGTCAGGAACATATGTCATTATAATCCAGATAGGAATTTGCTATGCCAGGGCATATAAATCCCAACAGCTCCCACTTGCCCTCATAGCCAATTCAAATTGCACCTAACTCCAATGTTATCCAGATGATGATCAAAATTATTGATCAATGACACCTTTGATAATGGATCAACAAAGTTGTGTTCCAATGCAATGTTCTAACTACAAGTGCATTTTCTTGCCGGACAATATTATGTAGAACATAATACTTCCTCTCAGTGTATCTTGTTCCTCTATGGAACCTTGGGTCATTGGTTTGGACTACTTCTGCACTATTGTCACAACATAGCTCAATAGGTAGGCTAGTATACTCCACAACCTCTAAATCAGTGAGATCAAACTAATAGGCTTCCTTTGCCGCCTTTAAGGCTGCAATATATTCCACCTACAGGTTTGAGTCAGCAGTTGAAATCTGCTTAACAATCTACTAATTGATCTCCCTTCCATTAAGTGAACATACACTAAGTTATAAACCTCATAGTATCTACTTCTGATTGAAAATCAGAACTAGCATACCTGACTAGGACCATATCATCACATCCATAAATGAATATGATATCATTGGTTCTCTTAGGTACTTAATGATATTTTTCACAATAGACCAGTTGTCAAGTCCAGTATTGGACTGATCTCTACTGACTATCCCTACTATGTAGCGGATGTCCTGTTTGGTATAGACCATGGCATATATGAGACTCTCATATGCCGAAACATATTGTTCCAGTTTCATTTGCTCAATCTCCTTTGATAGTCTTGAAAAACTACTTACTAGAGAGAGCCATCCATATCAATAAAGCAAGAACTCATTCTTTGAGTTATGCATACCAAACCTGGTCAAAACTTTATCAATGTAGGATTATTAAGATAAGCCTATTTTCCT